AGGGAATGATGGAGGCCAGGTAGACCATGCAGAACTTCAGCTTCGCTAGGAAGCGGTTCAAGTCTCGCAGGTCCAGGATAGGTCACAAACCGCACTTGGCCTTTGGGATTAAAAAGTAGCAGGAATAGAACCCCTAGTTCCTGTGCTCTGAAGGAACAACCTCCACCGCACCTAGCTGCAGTAACCCCTCTACCGCCTGCGCGAGGAGACTCTTGTGAGAGGGATCCCTGAAGAGGGACGGGGAGGTTGGGTGGTAAGGAGGGTGTAACTGAAGGGTGTAACCCCAGGCCACCATATTGAGGACCCATAGGTCTGATGTTCTAGATGCCCATGCAGGGAGGAAAGGAGAAAGGCGGTTGGCAAAAATAGGGGAGGAAGGATCCTGGGAACAGTCCAGTAGGTCACCCTAGGGCTTACCCTCAAAACGAGCGCTTGCCTGTCTGCTTATTGTGGGTCGAGCTCGACTGAGAGGCTTGCGAAGGCTGTTGGCTAGGACGCCGCTTGTAGCCTCTGGATTTCTTATGGGGAGGCTCCTGGCGAGGGTGGCTCCCCTGACCTTGAGCCTGCTGCGGCTTAAACCACTTGCGGGCAGGGCCAGGAACATACAGGCCCAGCGTTTTAAGGGTCGTGCGGGAGTCCTTTAGGCCATAAAGCTTATTGTCCGTCTGTTCCGCAAATAGGGCTTGCACATCAAAGGGAAGGTCTAGCATTGACTGCTGAGCCTCCGTGGACAAGGCAAAGAGGAGCAACCAGGATGTCTGGCACGTGGCGATGGCTGAGGCTATGGTTCGGGAGGCAGTGTCCACCACATCCGATGCCGCCTGGAGCGTCGCCCTGGCCACAGATGTGCCCTCCTCCATAATAGCCCGGAACTCCTTGTTAGAAGCCTCAGGAAGACATCCCTCAAACTTGGCCATGGCTTGCCACATGTTAAAATCATAGCATCCCAGGAGGGCCTAATGGTTGGCCACCCTCAACTGGAGACTAGAGGATGGATAAACCTTACGCCCAAACAAGTCTAGTCTCTTGGAGTAATTGTTCTTAGGGATAGCCCCAGGTTGACTTTGTCGCTCCCTGTGGTTAACCGCTTTTACCACTAGCGAGTTGGGAGCAGGGTGGGTGTACAGGTAGTCATGGCCTTTGGATGGCACGAAGTACTTGCACTCAGTCCTCTTGGAGATGGGTGGCAGGGAGGAGGGAGTTTGCCACAGGGCATTAGTGACCTTAGAGACCCCATCATGAAGGGGCAGCACCCCCCTGGCCGGTGCTGTGGAGCAGAGGACACTGAAGAGAGTCCGAAGGCTCCTCTAGCTCCTTCGCCTAAAGATCAAGGTTGGCAGCGACCCTCTTCAGTAGTTCCTGGTGTGCTTTAGCATCCTCCAGAGGAATCAGGGGAGGGGACCCCATTAATGACTCGTCTGGTGACGACGAAGAAGATGCTGGTGCTGTAGGGTCCTCCACAACCATTGGTGGTCCAGTAGGTTGTTCCCGTTCCCTCTTTGACCTGTGGGGTCCTCGCGCCCGAGGCTCTGCGCACCGGAGAAGGGTGAGAGAGAGAAGCAGGTGGTCTCTCCGACTCTCCAGGCAGCCTGGGAGGGCTGGGTGAAACCCCACGGGATCCATGGGTACCACGGCACTGGCCACTGTGCCTGAAGCCATGGGGCCAGTTTCGGTTCCGACAGGATAGCCGGTATCGGAGCTTGTCCCGCTGTCAGGGAACCTCGCTCCGAACCAGAGCTGGATCCTGAGCGGTTGCTCCTAGGTGACCGGGACGGTATGAAATGGTGGCTCTGTCCCGACCGGTGCCGGTCACTCCGCCTGGAGTCCAATCTAGAATGGGGTCTTAAGGACCCGTGGCACTCAACAGATCCACGACAGCTTGGAGCTGGCGATCTACGTCTCGCGCTTGATGAGTGGTACCAGGATGAGGACTGGGACCGGGAGTCAGAATGGGCCTGGTGCCGGGAAGTGCCCGCACACGGTGATGCCCTCCTAGGGGATTGGCGATGATCCGAGGAATGGTATCATCGATCCCTCGACGGGTCCCTGGAGTGGTACCACGGTCTTGGAGATACCAGGTGCCAGGACCGGTACTCCTGCCGGGGGTGCATGCCTCCAAAGGTCTGTGCCCGGTGGCCGTCGAGCTGCGCCTCGAGCCTCTCTGCCCATGCCCGAGGTCCGGGGACCGAATGGGGCTGTGTTGCATCTGCCTATCACGTCAGATGTGTGGCGGCTATGGGAGGGCGAGGTCTGGCGGGACGTCCCCTGCAACGGGGAACGGTGCTGCTGAGGTGGGAACCGAAGCAGTCCGAACGCGGGTTTATCCCGTGACTGGGGAACTGCAGAAGCCGGTGAAGGCGGCAGCGGGGGGGGACATGATCCCCTGTGCGGCCTGCAGGGTCTCCAGCGTGGACGGCACCCAGAGCTGACGGAGGCCCCTCCGCTATCCGGGGTGGCTGGCGGGGAGCGGGTTGGGCTACATCACTCCACTGGAGCATGGGCCCGAGATCCTGACGTGGATGGAGGGACATGGGTGAAGAGGGACCTTGCCCACACCCAGTCTTATCCTTTCCCTTGTGGGAGGTTGGAGACCGGCCTCGCCCCGCCTTTTGGGCTTCTTGGTCGGAGCCACGGATGGGGACCAGTGCCAGCCAGTGGACGGTCCCAGTGGGGTGCTGCGTACCGAGGTCACAGTACTCAGCGCTGAGTTAGAGTGTTGCTCTAGGACTGGGGTGAGGGCCGACTCCATAAGGAGTGCTCTTAAATGAATATCACACTCCTTCATAGTCCTTGGCTTGAAGGACTTGCAAATTTTGCACTTCTCACTAACAGAAGTGCCCTTCACCCATGCAACGCAGACAACTGCTGTGTGGATCACTAATGGGCATGGGCCTCTTGCAGCAACCACAGGGCTTAAAGCCTGGGGACCAGGGTATGCCCCGTCCCGAAGCAAAGTCCCGTTCGGGACCTATGAAGTCTCTAACTATAGCTAAGGGATTTATAAACATTAACAGAAAACTATATACACTATAATACAAGAGATAACTAGTTCGTACAAATGAGCAGCAACAGCACTAGCTGAAGCAGCAACAGTTCCAGCACTGTCACTGGCAGCAAGAAGGAACTGAGGGTGGGGGGAACTGGCGGTGCCCTGTATACTGCAGCATGTGCGCGCCACTCCAGGGGGCGCCAGAGCTGATCCCCTACGGATACTGCTGAGGGAAAAAGCTTCCGGCACCGGTGCACGTGGCGAGCACACACACCTAAGTTGAATGGACATGAGCAAGCACTCGAAGAAGAATTTAGAGAATTCTCTTTTTTACTGGAAAACAAAGCATCCTAATTTGTTATAAACATTTTCTGTGTTAAAAAAGAAAAAAGATATAGCAGTTAACATACGTGTACTGTACTGTGATGCAGAGATACCAAGTTTTGGGCTTGATGATTAACACATGCAAACTCTCTCCAGCCCAGTGCTCATGCTATCACTTACCAACATTAACAATATAATTAATCTATTACATCAATTCCTAATTTGTTGGACACCCTTTGGGGCAATTTATTGCAGGATATTTAATATCACTGCATACAGTACTTTCTTTAAAAAATGATTTAAAAATTAGGGACCAAATTCTGCACTTATTTTTAACCTGTACAATCTTACTGGCGTCAATGGCATTCCAGTGAGTGTATAATTTGGGCTTATCTAAGGTGTCAAAAACGCTCATTGTTTTGAGCTGCTAAGAGGAAAAGCTAAGGCTTTAAACCAGGGCTCCTTCAAAATGTTAACATTCGGAATTAAAGGCTACAGGAGGTAGAGAACAGAACTGAAGATACCAGAGAGGAACTGGTTGTCATACAACCTATTTGGCCAAAAATATCAGGCACTGCAACATCCTGAAAAATCTGGCTGTGTGGGCTGATAACTGCAGAGCAGCAGTTTTCAAACTTCTTGAGCTGAGCCCCCACTTTGAACTGCGCCACCCCAACCCAGACAAAAAGAGGTGAGTTAGGGGGTGGAAGTGGCACTCCCTCCCCGAACCCGCTGAGCTGAAGCCCGAGCCATCAGGTGTCACCACTCACCCACCTGAGTATTCCTCTGCACCCCCCTGTTGTAGAGTGTGCAAACATATGGACAAAGCCAGTTTGGCAACTTCTTAGGCTGCTAAAGATTATAAACTTTGTACACAAAAAATAAAAAACTGTGCCATGGGCCTACTCCTTCCCCAGTGAAGACAATGGCAAATCTCTCATTGACTTCAGTGGTTCAGGATTGGGCCTTTAATCCCTGCAGTTGGGAGCAGAGTTTTGCATTATTTTCTACTAATAACCTTTAGCCAACCAAAGAAGTGGCAGGAAGAGCATTGAAGAATAGAACACTCTATACCTAAAGAGTTGGTACAATGTAAAGTCTCAACAAGTGTACGTGGGGGTAGGCTTGAGCACACACATCTGAAAAGAAACTCCAGTAGAACATGAATTTTTCATTTCAAGAATATCATTAACAGTCTATTAGTTTACTCTGCTATGTGATAAAACTCAATTTAACAACAGGCGATCAAAGTCACTTTAGAAATGAAGATTAGAGAAGAATCTGAAATTTAATCACAGAAATAATTGCACAGGCCCTGGATTAAATACTTTTGATTTTTTTCTACAACATACTTCAGCTCCTAATTGTTTTCAATTGTCTGGGATGGCATCAAGCTATTATGGATTCGTCACAAAACTTAAAAAAGAATCTGAACATGACTACCCTGGTGTTTAAATCTTTTAGATTTACAATATGAAATGAATTGGTTAATTAAGCATGTAACTTCTTGAATAAAACATGCATAAATTAAGAATAGCATACATGCATGCTTTATCTTCACTAAAATTATTCTTGTGCTTGAAAATGATGTACCATGTTCTCTTCTATGTAAAATAAATAAATTAAAAATAGACAAGCCAGATGTTCCATTTCTTTTTGGTGGTACAAGTTGAGAATATTTCAATACCTTTACTTTATCCACAACTGGTTTGTTTTCATCAGGATCAGGTTCTCTTTGTCCCAGTGAACCAGCCAGGAGGTCTAGGGCATTGTCTTGCTCTTTCCCACCCTAGCAAAATGTAAATATATTCAAGAAAACATATGTCACAAAAAATCTTCATTTAAAACAAGGTATAATAAACACTAACTAACTTCATCCAACACAAAGTCTACTCTGCCTTTGAAATACCATAATAAAATTAATTGCAGTGTAGTGACAACAGTTAGAAAATTATTGGATGTTCAGAATAAAGGAAAAAGATCACTTGGAGTAGGCAAGTGGAGTAAAGATTTATTTGGCATTCTTCTGCTACAAGCAAACCAATTCTAATTTAGGAAAACATCTACACTAGAAACAGTTTTAAAATGGATCATCTTAAACACATGCTACCTCATTCTGCCAATAGTATGACTACACAGTAATAAAAGACCTGCAGCACAAATGTGGCTGGCCTGGGTCGGCTGACTTGGGCTTGTGTGGCTTGGGCTGAAAAATGCAGTGTAAACGTTTGAGGTTGGACTCCAGCCTGAGCTCTGAGACCCTCCCTCCCCTCTCCTTGCGACCTGAATATCTACACTGCACTACAATTTTAGCCCCACAGCCTGAGCCTGAGACTCGGTGCAGCAGGTTTTTTATTGCAGTGTATAGGTAGTTGCTAAGCAAGTGCCAGCTGCATAAGTTAAAATTCCCTGTCTGTTTAATGTTTCCATTAACATTTGAAAGGTTTTTTCCTTCCAGAAAGTGCTATCCTTTGCTTATACACGTAGGTTTTACCTACTGAAAACTTTAGCTTCTCCAGTTAAGTTTCTTTTCTTAACAAAATGTGAGCCACAGGAGTTTCTCCAATATAGTGGTTAAAATAGACAAACAGAAGTGGGAGCTTTCACTGCACCAGCCAAGGAAGGAGTTGGGGATATGTAAGAGCACTGCTTACCCTAGCCAAGGAGAGCCCTCCTCTGCTTTTAGCAGGAGGGGAAGCAGCACTCTTCCCCATTAACCCTTACTTTTCCTGCTGTTCCTGTAGAAGTGATTTGTCACCATGACACTATAGTATTCTACTTTTACTTGCATTTTCTGCCTCAACCCCGCCTGCAGAGGCCTCACAAAAATCACAGAACCACATGGTCCTGCAAGGGTACACCATAGGGATCTAGTTTGTATTTTTATTTAGCTGACCAAACATAGGGTTAAATTCTGGCAGACATAAGAGGGAAAAAAAGCATAACAAGCCTCAAAATTGTGCACATACACACTGCAAAAAAATAAGGTGAATGTATGCTCCTATTCTGGCCAAGACCAGTCCCTCTCACAGATCAATTATAAAATCTATTCCAACTCAGAGCTGAAAGGGGGCTATTCATACAGACTATTGCTGAGTCTTGCATTAACAAGTCTACATACACAATCACAGCCCATGACTCCTAGGTCACATCTAGTTATACCTTCCATGTTTCTGAAGGAACCAGAAAAGGGATGGACAACCCTACAGCCTTCATTCCTGGTGCTAGCCAGGGCGTTTCTGGAATGTGCATATATGTAACATAAGCCAAAATTTGGGCCACAGTGCAAAACTGTACACAAAATGCAGAAGCCTAGAATTCTTTTCCGGAGAAAAATCTATCTTCTTATTAGCCAGTTTCAATAGTAAAGGATTCAATTTTACAACAGGCTCCACCATTAAGAACTACTCTAAAAAGATCTCCTGTTTCCTTCCTCTAACAGGTTTTAGTATGACCATCACCATCAACAACAACGAATGCTGCTTACTGGGGTAGCAGCTGGAGGAGCTGCTGAGTGCACTGCAGAAGCTGTAGCGGAGGAGACAACTTCTTCAGAGGCAGCTGGAGAAGATTTAACAGCTGTGGATTTCTAAAATAAAAAATGTTGTTACCAGTGTATATAATACTATAAACATACATAGGAAATCCCAAGTTTCTGGGACGCACAACTGTTTTATTTTCATCCGTACAGTGCTCATCTGGGACTTGATTCTTCTAACATACTGTATCTATTTCAGCCTAATTTACTCCCCTCCCCATCCCCATTAAAGGGCATAACAGTTCTCAAGAAGTCATTTAAACTTATGTTTTCTACATTCCATACCTCAGAAGTAACTTGTCCAACTCAGCCTAATAGAGTTAAACACATACTCTCCATTAAAATTAGTGGGTGAAATCCGGACTTCACTGAAGTCTATGGGAACAATCATAGTGATTACAATGGGTCTAGGACTTCACCCCACATGTCTAAATCCCCTAGATTGCTTTGAAAAGTCCCAATGATTGTGTGTTACCAACACAATCATCTGTTAAATTAGACACAACAATAAAACACACCCAATTTTTCTCATCATTTAAGAAAGCCTGGGCCTGTTTTTTTCCCTTCTACGTTTACTATAAAAATCATGGAAAATACAAGTTATTTAAACAACTTGAATATAAAACAGAATAATACAGATCAAGTAAATTCAGAGATCTTACGTTAGGTGTAGCTAGTGGTGCAGACGGTAATGTTGCTGGAGAACTGGCAAATCCCTCTGACAAAGCATCCAAGAGATCACTTTCATTCATGGGCTACAAGTTAAAAGAAATGACACCAGCTTTTTTATCCTTTGTTTGAATTCTGTTGATTGCTCTCATTATACCTGAATAATTTAGAGAGTCAGAATACAGCTAAAAGCTTAGAGAATAGGAAATCTTTTCCTTCTCTGTTTAATGAATAACAAATGGAAAAGTGAAAGATTTTCTGAATATTTACTCACTGACCTGGGGTTTTTCTTTAGATTTTGGCAAGAGTGGTTTTCCATCTTTATCCTACAGAGAAAACACTGTTTAACAAAGTAGTTCTCTATGACCACGAAACACAAGTCTTTTGGTAACAGTGGTTAAAAATATACAAAATGTTATTACACTGCCTCTCCCCCCCCCCCCCCTTTTTTTAAACAGCCATTGGTCAGGCTTTTAACTGAATTTAGAATATAGTTCTACTCTGAGAGACTCCAAAAATGTCATTGTGAGCTTCCATGCTTACTGTCTCTCCATTGCCATATCAAATATGCTCAGTTTGCAAATGAAAGCCTAACTTGTAGCCCTCCATAATCACTCCAGAACTTAGGGTCAAGGAGGGTAATTTCCTAACACATCAGCAACAAAGGGTTTTGCAGGCCTCAGTTATGCCTGTGCAACCCTACTGTCATCAGATTATGGCCTTGGTGACATTTGGAAAAATTCACTGGGTTACAGCGACGTAACTGATTGGAACTTAATAATTATTCTTTTGAAGCACAAATAGTAAATAATCCAATTCACCCCTCTCAGCCAGAATTATTCACATTTGGGTGCATAAAGCTAAACCACCTTTACCCGTATTTAGATATCTAAATAAAAGTTTCCTAGTATTCAGATATGCTGATGAACCACAAATTACAATGAAGTCAATCATTATATATCACTGTAGTGCCTGAAGCAACATTCAAAAACGAGGAAAGGGGTGCAAAGAATACAGGAACGTATTAAAAGGAATTACCTTTGCTTCTATTAACCTGTATTCAGGAGGGATAGTTTCTTCATCTTCACCCAGTTTTTCTCGTTCTTCTTGTTTGGCTTTCTCCTAAGGGGGAAAACAAAAGTGGAACATTTCTCAGCAGAAATGTCACGAGGCCTTACATACTGCATGTGAGCAAGTTTTTGACTCTCTTCCAGTACAGCATCATTGTAGGCAGATGTTCCCGTGCAAATGCAGTTTAATTATCAGGCAAAAATCTCATGCTTTCTTCTGATGAGTCTTAAGTCTGATTCTCCACTCACTTATTTCAATATAAAATGAGGAGTAATTCATTTCATTTTAATAGCATTATATTTGGTATAAAACTGATAAAAGTAAATATGAGAGTAAGTATAAACCAACAACAATAAAAACACCCATGGGCCTTGATTCTGTTCTCTGTATGAAACACGCTGACAGCTCCGATTCAGGGCTGCAAGGTAAGGCTGCACAGGGGCAGGATTAGGCCTAGGGAAGCAGGGAAGGTAGCTGGGGCAGAAGACAGCAGCTTTCTGCTGGCTGAGAGTTCCCATGAGCCGGGGTAATTCTCCACCAGCTATCTTTAGCTGCTTTAAGTAATACCTGACCCAGAGGTCATAAGGTTTTACAGGTTTTTACGGTTGACAGAAAAATCATGAAGATGTCCAACAGAGTGAAAGATCCTTCTAGTAATATATTGAACCCTGTTGTTTCAATCATAGAACACCTTTACAAACAAATGTAGCTTTGTCTTTATGTTCAAAAGAAGGAGGAAATTTACTTAAATAATAAACCAGCACAAAATCTAAAATTTGGTTCTTTTTAAGGGACTAATTGATTTTTTTGTTGCTGCGTGAATGTAGAAAGGATACTGTGTTACCTTAAGAATGAAATATTTGGTATGTATGTATGCCTAAAACGAATTTTGAAAAAAAATCACTTATAAATCACTCTGCACTAATTTATGCTAATAATTTTGTGAAACTCTACCTTCAAGTAGCACCCTGGAACCTGCATATTCATATTGTGATATGACTATGATATGTTTTGTACAAGTATGCCTTGTGAGGTATCATTTTAAAAGTCTTGATCTGTTGAATATTAATATCATGTTGAATTATATGTACTATCATTGTATGTGAAGTTATGAAGGATTGCTATATGTGCTACTGAAATATGTTCTGAGGTTGGGAAATGCCCATAGCAGGCCTTTCAGTTGCAACAAACGAGGTCAGAGAGGTGTTGATGGCCAATCAACAAGAATCCACTCTCCCAGGGACTCCTCAGAGAAGGCAAGTACGCCATGGGGACGGACTAACCCACATCACAGCAAGGATCTTTCTAGCAGCTGGAAGAAAATATAAAAGAGGGGCAGTGACATCATCATAATGAAAGAAATACCAAACCACGATCTTGTCATGGTTATGGGAGATTTTAATTCTCAGATCGGAAATGAAAGAAGAGGTTGGGAAACAATCAGCACACATACAACTGGAACAACGACAGACAATGGCACAAGACTTATTGTTTTCGGCAAAAAATTCAAGTTGAGCACCTGCAAATCTTTCTTCCGATATAAAAACATACACAAAAAGACACGGATTTCACCAAATGGCCGTACACAAAATGAGATCAACTATATCTGTGTTAGTCAGAGGTGGCGAACATCAGTGTGAGACACAAGCGTATTCAGAGGAGCCGATATAGGGAGTGATCACTATTTGCTGAAAGCAAACATCAAATTGAAGTTTAAAGCGCTTAAAAAGAAAGAACACAGACTCAGATTATTCAACACACAGAAACTACAAGATTGCAGGATATGAAAAGAGTACCAGATAGAGGTAAAAAAGATAGAGTTTGAGGCCCTTAAAGATCTTGAAAAAAACGAAGTGGAAAAATACTGGGATCTTTTCAAAACAGCTATGCTAGAAGCAGCTGAAAAGATAATTGGTAGAAAGAGAGGAAGCAATAAAGAACAGTGGATCTCAGAAGAAACATGGAAAATTATAGACAAAAGAAGAAAACAAAAGGCTCTAGTACTACAACATGGGACTGAAGAAACAAAGCAAACCTACAGTAACTCCTCACTTAATGTTGTAGTTATGCTCCTGAAAAATGCAACTTTAAGTGAAACGATGTTAAGTGAATCCAATTTCCCCATAAGAATGAATGTAAATGGGGGGGTTAGGTTCCAGAGAAATTTTTTTTGCCATACAGTACAGTACTATAGTTGGGAGATGGACCCGCCTTACCCAATACAGGCACAGCCCACTGGCACTGGAGACAATGAGGCAGGCAAGGAGGCTGAAGGTGCTGTAGGCTAGGAGAAGCACATTGCGCAGCAACAGCGGCAGCTTCCCCTACTGTGCAAGCACCAGGTGCGGGGGGCGGGGGGAGGCTCATGCCACCCCTTCCCCCAAGCCCGCACCCTTAATCCACCTCTTCTTCACCCCCTCCTCCCCCTTTACTCTGCGCGCCGCATCCTCGTTCCTTCCCCCCCCCTTCCTCCTGCCTGCGGCAATCAGCTGGCTTGCGGCATTTGGGAGGCAGGGGAGAGAGGGGGAGCCTGTGCGCCGAGTCCTTGCTCCTCCCCGCTCCCTCCTGAACGCCGCAAGCCAGCTGATTGCGACGGACAGGAGGTGAGGGGAGGAAGGGGAAGGCGCTGATGCGCGGGGTCTGCTGGCGGGCCGGAGGCGCTGGGGGGGAGGGGGGGCATAGGAGAGCTGATAGGGGGCTGCCAGCTGTGGACAAAGCAGGCAGCCAAATGACATTATAGCGAAGCACTGCACATCTTTAAATGGAGCATGTTCTGTAATCGAGCAGGGACGTAACATTGAAACAACGTTAAGCGAGAGGACGTTAAGTGGGGAGTTACTGTACAGGAACCTTGACAAAGCAGTAAAGAAACAATGCAAAAAAGATAAGCAAAACTGGATAGACAGTAAGGCTAGTGAAACTGAAGAAGCAGGGGAAAGAAATGATACAAGAACAGTCTACATGATCCTGAAACAGTTAACACAATATGGATCAAAATTCAGAAGTGTCCCAGTGAAAGGGAAACAAGGAGAAATTTTGAAAACACAGGAGGAACAAGAAAATAGATGCGTGGAACACTTCAAAGAAGTGCTAACCCAACCAGAACCAATTACAAGACTGGAATTTAACAATGATAAACCATTAGACCTAGATATAGATGTATCTAAGTAGTAAAAAAAAGCATTGCAGAAGCTGAAAAACAACAAGGCACCTGGGTTTGGATGGCATTCATCCAGAGATGCTTAAAAATGGAGGCGAAGACGTGGAATCAGTCATCCGTCCACTGTGCAACAAAATATGGACGGATGAGAAAGTGCCGGAAGAACGGACCCTCAGTATCATAAATCAAGTTACCAAAGAAAGGTGATCTAAACAATTGTTCAAATTGGAGGGGAGTAACACTTCTAGCTGTCAAAGGTAAAGTATTAGCAGCAGTCCTCCTGAACAGAATGAAAGGAAAGATGGATACCATCCTACATGAACAACAATCTGGATTTAGACAAGGGAGATCGTGCACAGACACTATTTTCACCCTGAGATGGATTATTTAGAACACAATTGAATTCCAAGGCAGTCTTGCCATCAATTTTGTGGACTTTCAAAAGGTATTCAATAGTGTAAACAGAGAAAAAAATTGGGAAAATTGTGGAACAATATGGAATTCCAACAAAATTAATTAACATTATGAAGGCATTCTATGCCAACTCAAAATGGTGCATTAAAATGGAAAATGGATTGAGCAAGCCATTCAGCATCAAGACAGGTGTAAGGCAGGGGTGCGTCCTGTCTCCTTTTTTGTTTATGCTAGTCATCGACTATGGATTAAACCAATGCAATAGTGATACATATGGCCTAAAATGGAACAATTCAAGGCTATTTGATCTAGACTTTGCTGATGACATCGCTCTTATCAATGAAGATGCCAACAGACTACAAAAATGCATAAACCAAGTAAAAGAAGTAATAGAGAAGATGGGTTTGATACGCAATGCAAAGAAATGTAAAATCATATTAATGGGGAATATAGGGACAGAAATCAAAATTGAAGAAGAGAAACTGGAGAAGGCAGACAATTTTACGTATCTTGGAAGTACCGTTAACCAAGATGGTACTAGTTCCGAGGAAATAAGAAGAATTGGGAGGGCAAACGCTGCATTTGGAAGACTCAAAAACATCTCCCTCAAGACAAAACTAAATGTGTACAAAGCAATTGTTATCGCCATTACAACATACAGCAGTGGGACATGGCAACTTACCAAGAAAGAGACACAAAAGCTGGATGCATTTCATCACAAATGTCTGAGAAGAATGTTGGAAATAACATATAGAGATAGGAAGATGAATGAAGAAGTCAGAAAAATGACTGGACAAGGCACCCTCTCACAAATAATCTACAAAAGACGACATCAATGGCTGGGACATGTGCTGAGAATGGAAAAAGAAAGCTTACCAAATACCGCCCTTGAATGGAAGCCAGAAAATGCAAGAAGAAAGAAAGAGAGGAAGACCGCGAATAACATGGAAACGAACAGTTCTGAACAACATCAAGCACCTCAACATGAAATGGGAAGATTTGGAGAGAAGGGCAGTTGACAGGCAAGGATGGCAAATGCGGATAGCCCAATGTGCAGCAAAGCACAGAATGGACTAAGATCTAAGGTAAAGACATCATCACTTGGCCTCTTTCCCCCCACATCTCAACACCTGAAAGATCATCTGGAAGACACTGACTTTGAACTAGGGAGATTGGACCCTCTTTCAGCCTGGGACCAGTCTGTGTATTGAGGAACTGTAAACTGCCTGTGTCATCTAGGATGGGAGATAGATTCAAATCTTGCTTAGTGTGTTCAAATTAGAATTAAGAGTGCAAATTTAGTTTTATTTCTTAGGTAACCAACTTTGATCTCTATGCCTGCTACTTATAATCACTTAGTATCTATCTTTCTGTTGTTAATAAATCCATTTTATATTTTACCTAAAACAGTGTGGTTTTAGTTGAAGTGCTTAGGGAATCTCAGCTCAGGTTACAAAGGCTGGTGCTTGTCCACTTTCCTATGAAGATGTGGTGAACTTCTTAATGAGTTTGCGCTGTCCAAAGGACCCTTGAGCAATGCAAGACAGTGTATTTCTGGGGTGCAAGGCTGAGGAACTGGGGGGAATTGGCTGAAGCCTCTCTATTGATGGTTCATGAGTGGCTGGGAGATCATTCATGTAACACAGTTGGGCACGTCTCTGCCTGTGGATGGCTGGGTAAGTGCAGTGCCTGTCACAGACTTGTAGCTCGACATCAGCATCACAGTGTGACAGACAGCCCAGGCTGATGGGTTTGGAAGGCTCAGCAGTCCCACAGTCCAGGTTGCACCCCAAGGATCCCTTCACAAGTTTCTAAACGGAATTCCCTCTATTGGTTTAAACGGGAAGTTCTGATTTAAAATAGATGGCAAAATATGGCCCACTGTAAATGGTTTAGTCTAAGCCAGGGGTCGGCAACGTTCAGCACGCGGCTCGCCGGGGTAAGCACCCTAGCGGGCCGGGCCAGTTTATTTACCTGCTGACGCGGCAGGTTTGGCCGATCGCGGCCCCCACTGGCCGCGGTTCACCGTCCCGGGCCAATGGGGGCGGCGGGAAGCGGCGCGGGCGAGGGATGTGCTGGCCGCGGCTTCCCGCCGCCCCCATTGGCCCGGGACAGCAAACCGCGGCCAGTG